CTGGCCAAAAAGATCCGCACGAAATTCACTTCGAAGTCTGGAACGACATTCTCCAGAACTCTCGGGGCCCATCCTGTCGTTTTCCGAACGAAATCCGCTCTGCGATGTTGGCGCCATGACGCTTCCCCCCTCGCTCGCCGCCGCAGAGGGTTCCAGCGCAGATCCAGGGAATCCACGAGGACCGCCCGCACCTGCCTGTGAGAACAGCCAGCCCCTGCGCAGCCCAAGGCTTAGGTCGGGCGTGTCCCCCTACAGGCGGCCTTTGGTCGACAATAACAAAATATGTTGAACATACCCCAACATAGTGAAACAAACATCCAAACCAATCACCCGACTATTTCCTTACTATTTTTGAACATTCCTCCTGTAGAGGGACAGGCCCGATCTAACCCAAGGCCAGAAAACGCCACTACTGGGCCGCGCGACGCTGGCGCCCGATCCAGGCCCCATCGTTCCCTCTCTCGCTCCCCCCTGCGCGGGCCCGCGATGTGGCTGCATGCAGGGCAAGGGGTGTCTCTGGACAGGGGCGACCCTGGGCAAGGGCTGCGAGGCAGGGACGTGTCCACGTGTCCACTGCCTGGATGCCGACGCCCGCGGTGGACATGGATCGGAGGTTGAGGGGTGAGATCGCAGTGGAACGGAGAGCCCCCCACCAGGAAATCGATTTCGGGTTCGTGTTCGTGTCGTGCGTGCGGGCGAGGCGAAGCTGCGTGGGCGCGCGAGAGGAATGACTCCGCCGTCGCCAGGGCGATTCGGATGCAGTGGACCGCCCCTCCGCCCCCCGTGGGCGCGCGGTGGCCCGGTATGCCCCGCCATGGTGTCCTGTGGTGGTGTCCCGTTGGCGTCCCGTCGGTGTTCTTCCGGCTGTGGGCGGGCGGTGGCCAGGGGTGTCCCGCCTTGGTACAGACAATGAAGTCGATAGTGAGATCGATAATGAAATCGATAGCATGCGATGGATAGTAAGATCGAGAGTGAGATCGACAGTGAGGTTGATTGTGACAGTGGTTGTGAGAACAATGGTAATGAGTCGATCGTGGGATCGATAGTGAGATCGATCGTGAGATCGAACGCGAAATCGATAGTGATAACGATAGTGACATTCCGCGTCGTCGCTAACCCGAGGGAGCGTCGCATTGACCAGCTATTGGTTCTTTCCCCCTCCTCACCCCCCAACCTCCTTCTCAACCGAAGGGTGGTCCTCTAGGTATATAGTTTGGCCTTTGGCCACGGGGGTGCCCAATCTACATATCTATATATATCTATATATATAAAACCGATGTGTAATGTGAAAATACGTATGTTTGTATACACATGTGTACACATACGCACATATATATATATATATACATATCCACCGCCTGCCGAGGTCCCCGAAGATCGATTCCCCGGGCGCTGGCTACATTGCGATCCTTTTACACACATGTTCAAACATTCTCTGTCGTGCAGGGTAGCCTAGGAAACATTATTACCTGCCCCCCCAAACATTAGTGGGATAAGCATCTCCGCCGCGAGGACGACGACGACGACAACGACTACGACTGCCCTCACGATTGCATTCACATTTGTAACCACGACCACAATCACGACTACAACCACAACCACTGATCCCGATTGCCGTCATCGTGGGAAGATGCTCACAAATCCTCTCGCGTGCACGGCAGCACACAATGGATTACTCCCTGGGAGACAGAATCCCCCAACATTATCCGGCCCGCCAAACAATAAAGGAAACATAATCTCCGCCGCGACGACGGCGACGACGAAGAGGGGGGGAAGGGAGGAGGAGGAGGAGGAGGAGGAGGAGGAGGAGAAGGAGGAGGAGGAGGAGGGGCAGGAGGAGGAGGACGGGCAAGTGTTCCCCGCCGAGAGAAACAGGGGGGGTGGACCCAAAAGTAAAAAACTCATCGCGGCTATTTAGAGCCTCTCGGTGGAGCCTCTTGGTGGAGCCTCTTGGTGGGCCTCCACGCCCCCTGCAGCGCCTTGGGACCGCTGAAGAGCGCCGCGGGGTGCCGCGCCTGCCGTTCTCAACGACGTGGCCGAGAAGGCGGAGGATGGGGGACGAAACAAGACACCCGTTGCTGTTATTCGAAATTTTGCCCGTGACTGGCCCCGCCCCTCCCCCTGGCCATCGCTTGGACGTCAATTCCATGTGCTTTTTTCGGTTTCGTGCATGTTTTTTTCGCCAGATGATCAAGGATGCACCTCGATGGTGTTCGCCGAAGGAAAAATGCACACGTCCGAGCGATGCCAAGCCCCTGGTCACAACGCCATTCGCGCCAGCGCCGACTGGGCATGAGCCATCGCCAAGCATTTCCAGACGGCACCAGCGGGAATCGTGCCGTGACTGGCTCCCTCCCCATCTCCTCCCCCTGCCACGTCCGTCATCCCCCTGGTCTCCACAAGGAGGGAGCGTGGCACAATGATGTGGCGGCGGATGACATGGACGCGATGCCCGCTCTCGATGGGGGAACCAACACGGTCCAGATGCTGCTCCTCCCCGCACCTCTGCGGGGGTGCTTTCTGACCAGACTTTCGAGGCGAGTCCAGCCGTGGCGACGAGGGCCTCCCAGGAGGCGGAATCTATGGATTTGTAACGCATCGGTGCCTCGCACAATGTTGCGATGCATCTTCGGGGGACCTTATCTGTCCCGCCGCGCTGCTATCCGCGTCGAATCCGTGTCGATCTTGTCGAATCCGCGCCGCATCCATGTCGAACCTGCGTAACATCAACTTCGAATGCGCGCCAAATCCGCGCCGAACCCGCGTCGGGCGCAAGGGAAATACTACAGTTTGCGGGACGGGCCAGGCCGCCCGCAGACTCGTCAAACTGTGACCCTCTGGCCGCCTCGGCGTGGACGGTTTCCCCTGGGGCCGTAGGCGACCCGAGGGGAGGGCGAGGAGGAGGAAGAGGGCGAGGAGGAGGAAGGAGGAGGAGGAGGAGGAGGAGGAGGAGGAGGAGGAGGAGGACCGGAAGGAGAAGGAAGGAGGAGGAGGAGGAGGAGGAGGAGGAGGAGGACCAGAAGGAGGAGGAGGAGGAGGAAGGAGGAGGAGGAGGGGGAGGAGGAGGAGAGAGGAGGAGGACGGATCGTCTAAGCCCTTCGGAGAAACCCTCCACCTCGGGGCTGGCCTTGGGCTGATCCTGGAGCTGCCCCTCCCTCTTTTCTCCATAGCCTGGCGCGCCCCGTGTGGGCGCGGGGCGCTCTGCAGCTCGTCGCCGTCCCCGCGAAAGAGGCCAAGTGCAAGACACGCAGATACCGCCCTGTTGGCCTCCTCGGAGAGACCGAGAGGGGCAGCGAGCGGAGGGGGAGACGCCACGGGTTCGAGGCTCGAGATGCTGCGGCGTGTTCGTCGGCTCTCGGCGGTTTTCCAATCCGGGGTGCTTTTCGGCAGCTGCGCCTCGCCGAGGGAGCTCTGGGGGTGCCGGATCGTCCGGAACGGCTGGGGACACGAAAGGGGCTCCACACATGGACGTCACCATCGCCGACGTCTCGGAGCGAGAGAACACCGTAGAGGTCCGCAGAGGAGACACAAATCCCGATGCCGCTCGTCCTGGAAAGCCCTCGCCGCCATGGCTGGTTTCTCCTCGAGACTCTGGCCAGAACGCACCCCTGGGGAGGTCCAGGGCTATGACGGTATCGGTCTCTCATTTTCATACTCGTGGAAGAACCTGCATGTGCATTGACTGTCGATGGTCCGCGCGAATTTCGTGGATATGCGCTGGACCTCCCTCCCTGGCTCACAGAACGCGACAGGGGCGACGCCGGAGGCGCCGCCAGGGGGGGCCCAGCGCCGATCCGAGAAATTCATGCGGAACTCCGAACACTTAACTATGTGTATGCCGACTTCTCATATTCAATGTTTGTTTTGTCAAGGTGATCGTTTTCTGTTTCGGCGTTTCGACATTGGGCTGAGGGGGCTGACTCTGACTCCTGATCTCTGCTTAATGCCACTGCTTGCAACAGTGCGTCCTATGGGGAGACTCCAATGCTCGAAACAGGCGCCGAGCACAACTCAGGTCTACTCCATGGGGGGGGAAGGGGGGGGGCGAGGGCCCGCGCCGATCGGTAGAACAATGAATAAGAAAACGATCACATGGAGAAAAACTACACAAGCACATAATTAAGACTTTCGGGGCCCCGTGCGGATCTCTCGGACCAGCGCTGGGCACCCCTGGCGGCGTCTCGGGCCCCGCTCCGTGCGCCAGAGAGGAGCTCCAACGCCGATCCGAGACGCCCGCCCTCCAGGCTTGTGGCGCGCTTCGCTCTCGGTCGCAACCGGCTCGGGGGAGGAGGAGGAGGAGGAGGAGGAGGAGGAGGAGGAGGAGGAGGAGGAGGAGGAGGAGGAGGAGGAGGAGGAGGAGGATCAGGAGGAGGAGGAGGAGGAGGAGGAGGAGGAGGGAGGAGGACGAGGAGGAGGAGAGGGAGGAGGAAGAGGAGGAGGAGAGGAGGAGGAGGAGAGGAGGAGGAGGAGGAGGAGGAGGGGGAGGAGGAGGGAGGCATCGAGCTGGAATTGGCGATGCATCGCCGAGAGGCCCCCCGACAGCGAAGCCGCGCGCTCCTGGGCGGGGCCAGGCACCCGGGCCCCTACATATCGGAGACGCATGGGCGACTGGGGGGTCGATGCCCTCGTCCTCCTCGTCCTCCTCGTCCTCCTCCTCCTCCCTCCTCCTCCTCCTCGTCCTCCTCCTCCTCGTCCTCCTCGAGTCCTCCCTCCTCCTCCTCCTCCTCCTCCTCCTCCTCCTCCTCCTCTCCTGCAGCCCCCCGGCCCCTGGTGAGGCTTCGGGCTGCGCACAGGCAGCCCCCCCCAGGTGCGGCCAGCCTCTCGGGGGGCCTGCTGCGGCCCGCGGAGACTGCTCGGGAGGCCCTGCCGAGGCCAGCCGCACCCGGTGGGGGCTGTCTGCGCGCAGCCCGAGACCTCAGTGTCCCCACCGAGCCTGCCCCCACCCTCCGCTCACGCTGCCCTGGAGAACACTGGCCGCCGCGGGTGCAATCCCAGGCGGCTCACGAGGCCGTGGCCACTGCCTCAGGAGGCAACTGCTGGGAGGTCAGCGTGAGAACGATCAAGGGCTCTGAAGCCCGATCTGTCTGTCTCCCTCCTGCCTCCCCTGCGACGTCCCTATCTATCGTGAGCGCGTACTGAATCATGTGCGTGATCATATCTTCCTGGTCCTCCCAGAGGGCCAGCGTACGACAGGCGCGCCTGCCTCCCTTGCAATGACGCCGGCCCTTCCTGGCGACGACTAGCTCATATTGAACCAGGGTAAGCCGGATTACACCAGACTTGGCTGAAGCAAAAACGGGATTAGACTGGTGTTCGACCACGGATGCACCAGCCAAGCTGCTGAATGTATAACCTCCCAGGAGTGGCATCCTAACACTGTCCTACGCTTGTAAGACACTTGTAAACAAAAATTGCAATCAGACTGTAGACAATTGCCGGGCTGTAGAAGATTACCGAGCAACTCACGGGCAAACGTGGCGCTGGTCGTGCGACGAGCGCCGCTCGAGGGGAGATGGTCACCGAGGGAATCTCCACGGAGCCTCCCTCCTCCCTCCTCCCTCCTCCCTCCTGTGTGACAGCTGTGGAGGAAAGGAAGACGATGGACAGCGGCGAGGGGCCCAGGCACCCGTGCGAGCCCTCCCGCTGGCGCCGCGCCCGACGGCAGGCGGAGCTCGCTGCCCCGTGCGAGCCCAGGCCGATCACCCTCCCCTCGCCTCCTCCACCAGGATGACTTGGCACACGATGGAGAAGGAGGAGGGAGTAGGGAGGAGGAGGAGGATGAGGAGGAGGAGGGCGAAGGAGGATGAGGAAGGAGGAGGAGGAAGGAGGAGGAGGAGCAGTAGGAGGAGGAGGAGGAGGAGGAGGAGGAGGAGGAGGAGGAGGATGGAACGCGCTGACGGGGGTCAGCGCTGACCTGGCTCAGCCAACCAGACTCCTTTATCCCAAGCCGGCAGCGGCTGCTGCTGGGCAGGCGACGTGCTGCCTCAGATGGAACACGAACGCTGCGACGCGGGCAGCGAGCCCCCGGCGCAACATCGGCAGGAGCTGCTGTCGGTTTTCGTACCGCTGTTCTCTCCGAGCCCATTTCGATGGTCCCGATCAGTGCTGATCTGGATCAGCAAAGGCCCCCCTCCCTCTGGGATCCCCACCTCGCGCTGATAATCCGAGGCGGCCGTCGGGATAATACTGTTAGGTCGGGCATGTCCCCCTACAGGCGGATTTGGACGAACAAGTAACAACTGCCCCAAAATATTCAAACATACGCAAGAATAGTCAAACAATCGTCCCCAAACTATTTTTGAACTATCGAATATCCCTCCTGTAGAGGGGCACGCCCGACTTCAAGATACTGTGAGCCCGACTCCAGAGGAAGTCTTGAGCGGCAGCCTCGCTCCCGAGCAGACCGCGAGGATGTCTCGGCCCGCCTGCGAGTGCATCGCGGGGAAGTCTCAAGCGGGAACCCCTCCCTACAGGCATAATGGATTGCACAAGACACGCGACAGGACACAAGACACTTCCGCCAGCAGCATGGCCTCCCAAACCACAGGCCACAAAGGGCGCCACTGCCCCAAGACTGCAGATGACTACCTATTAAACCACCGCACCCCTCTGCAGAGGGCAGAACAATCACCCTCATAGTGAGCACCCCGACGAGCGACGCCTCGAGTATTCATCGGGGGCGGCCAAGAGGGGAGCGTCCAAGAGGGGGGGCGCAAATCATGGCTGGCGGCACGTGCGCGGCCCAGGGGGGGGCCAGGGACGTATTGGAATGAGAAGAGGCGCCATGAAATCTGGGGAAATATCATGGCCCACACCATTATATGCCCCCCCTGGGCATGACCCCACTCTTGGCCGCCGCCCCAATTAAGTCGGGCGTGTCCCTCTACAGGAGGAATATTCAGAAGTAAGCAGAACATAATCAGGGGACGATGTTTTATACTTTTCTTGACAATTGTTGGATATAATTGGATTGTTTTAGATTTATCCCCGTAAACCCGCCAGCAGGAGGACATGCCCGACTTAACTGTAGCAGGCGCACCCAGAGAAGGGATCGAGCAGGGCGGGGCTGTGTTGTAAACGCCCACATGCTGTGTAGTGAACTAGGGGAACAAAAAATGACATAAACATAAAAACTCGGAGTTCCGGGCGGATTTCTCGGATCGGCGCTGGACCCCCCTCCCTGGCGCGCTCCGCGCGCCAGGGGCGGCGCCGCAGGCGCCGCCGGGGGGCCCCAGCGCCGATCTGAGAAATCTGCGCGGACCTCCGAGTTTCTATGTTTATGTCACTTTTTGTTCCCCTATGAACGCCGATTGTGGGGGTCGGGGTGCTTTTTCCTCCCTCGACTCTGGTCCAGGCCGCGACGCGCGAAGCGGCATCGTCTTCGCGCCTCCCAGGGTCGGGCGTTGGCAGAACTGGGTTTAGTGGAACCTGGTTTAATGATTTGTACCGGGGGCGCCCCCCCGTCCCATTTCCACGAGCCGGAACTGCCGTCACCCGAAA